AGGGGGCCCCGGGGGCCGGGGGGGGGGGGAGAGGAAAGGGGGGAGAGAGAGAACCAGGGCCCGAGGAATGCCCTGCCAAGAGTCCAGTGCTGGGTTTGGGTCTCTCCCAAAGGAAGGCAGGCAGGCAGGCAGGCAGGCGGCGGCGCGCGGAAATTGACCAGCCGCCTTGGAGGCCGAAGGAAATTGACTAGAGGTCTGCGTCCAACAGGAGCTGCGGTGGCTCAAGTGGTGAAGACGCTGAACTGCAGGCTGTGGAAGGTCGGTAGTTCAGCAGTTCGAGACCCGAGTGTGCCGCATGACGGAGTGAGCTCCCGTCTCTAGTTCCAGCTCCTGCCAACCTAGCCGTTCGAAAGCAAGAAATTGCGATTAGATAAATAGGGACCACTTCGGTGGGAAGGAAACAGCGTTCCGTGCGCCTTGGTGTTGAGTCATGCCGGCCACATGACCACGGAAACGTCTTCGGACAGCGCTGGCTCTTCGGCTTGGAAACGGAGATGAGCACCGCAACCCTAGAGTCGGACTTGACTGGCTTTCGAGCAAGGGAACCTTTACCTTTACCTGCGTCCAACAGCGACTTAAAGAGGGTCTCTTAAAAGTGCCGAAAAGGGCAAGTAGAACGGTAAAAGGGTCGGAACACTGTCGCGAGGAAGAAAGGTGGAAGCGCTCGGGAGGGCTGAGGGGGGTGACACGATCGAGGTTTGTAAGATTATTTATGCCTGGGATAGAGCAGGTCGAGAAAGTGAAAAGTACTGCAAACGGAGGAGTGATTTCAGCTTAGCGTACTTTATTTAGCGCAGAACAAGACGGCCTCCCCAGGCTCGCAGGCCGGCTTATATTCCCCATGAAACCACCACCCAGAACACACACCCCCCACTTCCCAATAGGTTATTTACGGTGGCCGAGAGTTCCATAGGCTCTCGGTAGGGAGCCTAGCCCTCGGATAGGTATGGACTAGCATAGTCCATTGTTTCCCTGAGCGAAGCTCGACATTTGCGCTTGACCGCGTGGAGCCCACGCCGGCCACGCCTCGGAACTGGATACATAAGAACATAAGAGATGCCAGTGTTGGATCAGGCCAAAGGCGCATCCAGTCCAACACTCTGTGTCACACAGTGGCCAGAAATACCAGCTACCATCAGGAGGTCCACCAGTGGGGCCAGGACATTAGAAGTCCTCCCACTGTTGACCCCCCCCCCCCAAGCACCAAGATGACAGAGC